GTTAAACCACCGTAAAAACAAAACGGGCCTTTTTTCAAAATTGTTTTCGTATATTATTTAGGTAGGTAGTGTATCGATTTATGAAAGAAATTTCAAAACTTCATATTGTAATAGGCAAATATATTAAGATATAAAATCATCAGTAAAATATAGACATACATCGACATGTAATCACATTATATATGCGCGTACAGACATTTTAAATTTCGGATCTACTTTTAAGCCGTCGATCGACCGTTTAATGTTTGTCCATCCATGACCTATAATAGCGTAAGCGTATAATATGTAATAATGTTATTTATAATATCATAAGCCATATAGAAACGGAGTTTACCGTAATAATACAACGTTACGGATTCTCAAGGACGTTTTCAAGGTCACGTCATCTGCACGGGTTCGTGCAGTGCACGTAATAATATATGCATATAATATAAGTATAATATTATGTTGCATAATATACACTATATTGACAGATTTTTGATATTACTCGTATGATTATTGTGAGCACGTCTACACGTATCGTAAAATCGCTATAACTCAATCGATCATAGTGCAATGATTGACCCCCCCCCCAGACCATGGCTTCTACAGAAATCCATCTGGATATGCGTGTAAAATATTATGTGGAACGTGGCCAGGTGGTTTTTTTTTCCGTAGAATTCGTCCGTTTTAAAGTCAAAATACATAAATGACATACCTACCCATGTAATATTATGGTTATAAAATTATAGTATAGATGTGTAATATTGTATGACACGCGATAGTGAACGACGACGTTTATTCTGTCATAATATTCATATGAGTTCATATCGCACCAATTACATACTTATTATATTAATGATATAATAAAAATTAACATTTACCGTTAAGTAATATTATATAATGGTAAATTTTTAATTTTACCTTACGAAGAAGGTGGCCATTTTATTCGATACACGATTTCTGCAAGTATAGGTACCATAATATTATTCAGAGGTTATAATCATGGAGCACGGGCATAGGTGTTTAGCTCAGAGTTCAAAACAGTAAAGATTGGTGTTATGGGCTAGAAGAAAACGTATTATTCAAGTATCAGAATGTGTAGCTATTGGCTATAGTCACATAAAATTATTATGTACCCCGTGCCCGGGAAGTGACACGGTTTGACTGACTGACTGACTGACCGACCTACAAATAACAGAATATATTTATGGTTAAATATAGGAAATAATGAATAACAATAACCTAAGGGTTCGGACGAAACCGAAACCGGCCAAGACCGGCCGCGAATAATTGCGTAAGTGTGGTAAAATTGAATTAGAGAGTTCCATTTTATGGGCCGGTCACGCTTCGATTTATGATAACTGTTTACCCATGTTATTATACCTATACCGGTAATAAACATTTTATATATAAATAAACATGGTATGCAGATTTATTAGATAAGACAGTGTAAGATATTCAAACGGTTACAGCATCAATATCGCTATACCATTTCGTTTATATTATATATTAAATAATATATTCAGTGTAGGTACCATTATTATTAAGTATATCATACGAACGCGTTTACACTTTTATAGAATGATCATTGTTTTTTTTTATAATATCGTTTGGTATAATATTATACAGGTAACCTATAAGTTACAGTGAAGTGTTTATAATGTACAGGCCACAGGCGTATACAGCGTACGACACTATATTAGTGAATAATATTATGAGTAGCTGACGAAACCACGATAATGTCGATGGCCACAGATCGGTGCAGGACCGCGTGTAAATCGAACGTTTGCTGTAGCCACTTATTACTGAGTTGTGTAATCGCCATACGAGAAGGTCTCGTAAAACCGAGTTCGACGCGAATTTTTTATTTCCTACACTCCTATTTTCATTATATTAATTGTCACAGTCGCCGACGGTGCAGGTCGAGACAGATAAGAGGTCGATCCTTATTTTTTGTTTTTTTTTTATATAAAAAATCGGTGCAAAGGGGATAGAGATCACAAAAATCCATTATACGCATAGACATGTATTTTCATATTATGCAGGCATCGTCGATTGAAGGCAAGTCATTGCGAAGGGCTCTGGTAGACGGATGTATATGAATGAAATCCTTACACCATATTATAAAGATTACCTGCGTTTCAATATTATTAAATGAGACATTATAATTCGTATACCACAACTACTAATTAACAAGGTAAATAGTCGGTTAGAATTAAACTGGTAAGTACTGAACTTATCGAATCGTTGAAGTATGACAAAACTGAAGAGATAACGGTAACAACAATACTATTATTATACCTATACCTATAAACGTTCGGGCGTTTGGAGGGGACAGAATTCGAGCTTGTCCCTTTTCCGCTGCAGGATATATAGGTACTATGTACGATGAAATTACTAATAATTATTAGTACAATAAATAATATGTAATTACTGTCATAACAGGGGCGGTCGGTATTCTATACGTACATTATGCATTTCGACGTTCGCATCACTAAAAGTATAACTATAGGATAGGCAGTAAAACTGCACGTTACACAACAATAATATTATATTACGATCGTAATAATGTTGTGCAATTACGAGATACACGGACGACCGTTTAACTGCAGCAGTAGCATCGTCGGCGGTGGAACCGAAATTTAATATTACACTACTCACGGCGACCGTGGCAATGACAATAACAATATATTATTATTATTATAGGCATAATGTGTGTGCAGAAGAATAGGACGTCGTAAAAAAAAAAAAAAACATACAATTTATATTTTCTTTCCGACAATTATCATTACCATTATGAATCGTACGTGCGTATCCAACACCACGAATTAGTCGTGAACGATGTGCCCGACTAGTTGTGTACGACGCGTGTGTTATTGGGTTTTGCGCACATAGGTGAGCGTATTGTGCGGCGGTCTCCGTCGATGAGAGTGGAAGTGGAGGTCCTTGGACGTGGCGCTCGTCGATATCATAATAATATATTAATAGGTTAAGTGCGGTTTTTTACGACATTTTTTTTTCCATTTTTCGAAAACCTGCTTTTATACATAGTATATATATGCGCACATCGATATCGAGTTCTTGGTGCAAAGTCTAGGGTATGCGTTATATAATAATATATAGGTGCATTGTGCATATGATATTGATTTAGTTTATTTTTTTTTTCATAATATACAACTTTTTACGCTGCACCTCTGGCCTTAACCGTCATTCGTGTCACCCCCACCCCCCTTGAAATACGCTAAGATAAATATAATACCATTGTAAGGCCTGCCCAAACGAGTTTATAATTATCTTTCGGTGACTAGACAGATATAAATGTGATGAGAAAATGCGTCGCCTGATGTATCGTTAAAGCAGTGGTCGTGGAAGATTTTCACGAGCATAACGACGATGGAAAAAATCGCACGCCCCCCCCCCCACACCATTATTTGCTCGTACATTACAATCACACCGGAACTGTCATTAGTTGTGCGTGGTGTAAGAACTTTGGTGTTTAAGTGTCATACTCAGAAATCGATATGACCGTGTGAATAATACTCGTCGTACAACCGTCGTTCGATGTAGTTGTTTTATCGTGAAATAAATATATTATTAATACTAAGGCGTGTTTTACAGTCATATCCGATCTAAAAAGTCTACAGGGCTGCGTGTAATTTTTTGAGTCTTAAAAACAGTGTAGCTGAACGATTCTCAATCGAATTTATAAATTAAATAACTACACCTTGTAAGAGAACAATAATATTTCTTTCTATTGATAGAATTTTGACACTCGTGTCTATACACAGTCCAATTTTCGACACAGCCATGTCGGAAAAGTATTCTAATTTGACAAATGTAGGTACTATTTACGCCACCGCTGCGATAATAACGATTAATGAGTAACGATTGCAACGACTGCAGTGTCGAAAACAAATAATAAAATGAACAATATTATAATATGTTGTGTCAAGTACTCGACTGTTTGTAATAACTGAAAACTATAAGGTTAGAAGTTTCAATTTAAAGGTTTTAAGAACGCATTAGTTCTGCACGTAAAAATCAAAAATATGCACTAAAAACAGCATATTTTATGGACTGAAAAATCGTAAAAGCTGTAAATATGCCCTTGAAGTCAAAAAATCTCTAAGCAAGCAAAAATATGGCCTTAGAAACACTTTTGATATTTTATTTGTAAAGTCGTGAAATTAATTTACAGCTTACTCTCGGCAATAAATCGAATAAGTCGTAAAAAAAAAAAAACCAAACAAAAACGTGCAAATTTAAAAATATTATAGCTCACACGCGATTGCTACCAAAGTAGCATACACACCCACTATAATACAATACATTATACAATAATAGTCTAGTTAATATAAGTATTATAATAAGTTATGGTAGGTATAATATATCTCAAGATTCGTTTTCGTGATCACGGCGTCCTCCTCGAAAGGGCGTCTCTGCAGGGCAGCACCCCTACTGCACCATTTCTCGGAGTATTTATAGTCAAACACTGTCGATGACTGCTTGTAAGTCGTCGCAAGTACGTGTGTATTTGTGTGTGACGTATGTGTGCAAGGATATAGACGGCTGAAAAAGGTTCGCATGAAATCGTGTGTACACACAGACACGTATTTTTAACTGCGTCGGGTAGTATATGGTGGGTGGATGTGCGCGGGGCGTTGTGCAATGTCGCGGCGGTATATGCTCCAGTGAATGGTAAAAATCATGATAAATATATATATATATGGTAAACAGTGATCCGCCCTTGACAAGATAGACGTTTCACTTTCGACTTTGCACCGCTCGCAGTGTTTATCACTGCGGTTCGACGACGTATAGGCAGGCGCGTTGGCGCGAATAAAACAACCTTAACGGGCCAGGCGTGTAAATAATATTATTATAAAAATATATAGCATCGTCTCACGACTCAAAGACTTGTATATAAATATATCTAAATTAATAATCACGAAAGAGTTGGAGAAAAAACTCGATCCGTCACTGATATTTTGGATGTTATTATTTTTCCAGAAATGAAAATGTCTAAAAACGGCGGCGTGTCACTGCCACTACGGCTGTTGCTGCTGTCGTCGGCCTTGGCGACGGTGGCCGTAGCCCAGTCGAACTACGATCAGGTCGAAAACAGCATCGATTTCCCGAGTCCAGACAGGGGCCTGCCCGAGTCCACGGTGCTGGACGGCAAGGTCACCAAGCTGGACGAATTGTCGCCTGTGATATTTTTGAACAGGACTAAAGCGGCGCTAAACTGTGCCGCCGGATTTATGCAGGTTAGCCGTGCACATCATATGTAGTACCTATTACGTTAATAAATCATATAATACGTTAATGGCGATATCATAATATGGTTATTGTTTCGACGTACATTACGTTTCCATTTACATTGGACCATGTTTGGTTTTCAGATTGAACTCAAGTTCGAAGAACCGTTCTACGGTAGGGCTTACGCGGACTTCGACCGGAGCAGCGCTTGCATGGTGACTGGCAAAGGTAACAACTCGGCCAGGATTGACTTACCGCTAAAAGGATGCGGTACAAGACAAGTACGTGGGAGAAAATACGATATAATTATTAAATTCTATTTTTTTCTTCTTTCTTTAATTTAAATCGATGTTTTGTTTTGTACTTTATCAATTTAGGATCCACAAAGAGTTTTCACCAACAACATCGTAGTCAGGTTCCACCCCTTCCTAGAAATGGACGGTGACGAAGTAGTAACTATAGTGTGCAGGTATCCACCACCCATTGCTCCACCACCGGCTGGTATTCCTAACAAAATGTAAGTGAATATAACTTATAAGCGTTAAACGTGTTTTTGGTGTATAATAACCATGCAGTACTTATATATTTTTTTTATAATTTTTTCTTAAGTCATAAATATTGATACGAACTCATAGAATAAAATTAACATCATAGTATTGTCATTGAAAGCAGACATCGACTATATAATATTAAAGTTATACATTTATCAAGGTTACATAATAATACCTAATGTATAATACGGATAGTTAATACAACTGACTCGACATTATTTTTAATTAAATTATTGATCTTAATAAATTAAAAATGTATTGAAATGTAACGAAAACTAATTTAGTACCAATACAATAATAATTTATGTACCGAGTGCTTTATCTCAAAGAATCAAAATGGCCGGAAAGTATATACCTACTCACTGATAATAATAATTATTATAAGATTTAGTTTTTTTTTTGGTCCAAGGATTTATGTTAAAACGTAGCTACATAATTAAAGGTTAGGTGCAATGTGCATTATATAATGCATATATTCAAATTATATAAAAATACATAACAAACTGTTTTTAAATTCGGTACTTCCAAGGATTTAAATGATAAATGTATATTTTAATGATTAGTATAATGCCCCCTCCCACTCAATTAACACACCTTTAGACATACTGTGTGTACATTTATCCAAACGCAAATATCTAACTTGACTTTTTTTGTTCGTACAGCATCGATTTACCGTCAACTCCACTGGAACCACCACTGAAGGGTTTCCAAATCCTGCTGATCGTTTGCGGCATATTGTTCCTATCACTGGTCTTGCTGGGTCTTGGTTGTTCGTACTACTGCCTGCGCAACCAGCAAGTGCAGGTGGTTCGCCGGCACCCACTGTCGTCTGTCGGGTCTGATAAACTGTCCGACTCAAGCCTGTCCATGTTCGATGGGCTGAAGATACCGCGGGCTCGAGCTCCGACCCTGGACAGCTCTTCTGGTTCGGAAATGGCTCTGGTAAGCGCTGGTGACACGCTTCCCAGTGACTATCCGTCCGAATCACCCAGTTCCGGGCACTCGGAAGCGGAAGATGTGGACGGTCGCAGTTTGAGACGGTCGCCGAGTTCCGGTGGATCGTACGAGAATCGGGCGTTTCAGCAAGAATACTATGGGGAACGGTATCAACACTTGCCGGCGCCGACCATCACGCCACCGCCACCACCAGTTCAACCGAAGTTCGACGTTCAGCTCCGGGTGAAACGGGCCCCACCACCCACGCCCAGCCCTACGCCACCACCGTCTGAGTCTGAGGCGAGCGTTGCGGCGTTGGAACGGAACCTGACCACCATCCTTGAAAAGGACGAGACGATGTCAACAACCACGACGACGGCAGCAGCCGAGGAACGGTATCGGCCAGTGTACTCGACGGTGGTGCGCAAGGACAGAGACGAAACCGAATGGTATAGGACGGAGGAGAACGTGATGGCTACCAATGATGATATAAGAAGGTCACCGCCGCCACCCCCGCCACAGATGCAACTGCATCCAATGGACAACAACCATCGGTATGCCACCACGTCCAAGTACACGACCGAGATGCAAGTGGACGTGGTCGAACCACCTGTGGTACCGACCAAACGTCCAGAAATCACGTCACATACAGTTGATGACGTGTTCCTGAAGACGATCACCGAGAAGAAAACAATCGAGGATATCGAACGGCATCGCCGAGAGGTGGTCGAGTACAAGCCGCGGCCAGTTCCACCGCCGGCCAGCTGGGACGTGACCATCAAGAACTACCCGAACCCAGACGCTTTGTACCCGCAGTCGGGTGAAGACACGGCAACGGATTGGGATAGTTACTCCGAGGCGTCATCGGTGACCGGTTATCCGCCGGCTGGTGTCGATCGCCAGTCCAGGATTCAGTCGTACAATAGCAACGTGATGTCATCAGCGGCCACTTCTGAGGAGAATCACATCAGGTACCTGAGCACCATGGACGTGCCAGTGCCCAGGCCGGACAATTGGGAATCTTTGGTCCGAGTTCTGGAACCGGAACCAGAGCTGGAACCCAACGCCCGGTACAGAGTCGAGCAAACACTGACGCTGGACGACAAACGTAAATGGCGGCAAATTATCACCACTGAGTCGACGCTCCGGCAGCTCATCACTGAGGCCACCGTTCGGGAGGACTTCGAGCGCATCCGCAGTGATCCCAAGTACGAGAGGATATTCGAACCGGAAAAATGGGACGTTATCATACGCGTGATCGCACCGCCACAGCACTATGACCAGAAAGCCTCTGGGTCATCCAACAGGTACACCAAGAAGAAGAACGAGTTTGAAGGCGCCAGAACCAGAAGGAACTCACTGCCCACCGTCTACGAATACGATTCTGACGGTGGATCTAGCGTGAGGACGTTGACTGCGGTCGACGACCATGGCCCAATGGGACCAGCCCGATCTAGGAGAACGTCCAGGTCGAGCTTCAAATCCGACATGGATGTCAGGTAAGATATTGAGTGCATAATATTTGACTTTACAACGAGTGATAATGACATTTAGCAGTGTGTACATTTTGTGGATAACTATTATAGTCTAGTTCAAAATAACGTGGTTGTAATATGTTATTAAAGTTTGATTTAACTATTTTTTTTTAAATATCTTTAGAAATTAAACAATATTATTTTGTGTTTTATTGGACTGTACGTGAGATATGATTAATTCAGCAAACTTTACAATCAAACTTTGTAATTAGGAATGATTTATGTGTTGACGATCTATTTTTCCAACTCACGGTCACACCCTGAGGCCAATCTATTGTGGTTAGTGATTAAAAGGGAAGGGGGATAGTTTTCGATTTAATTTATTGGTCAAATTAACTATACTCTATAGCACACGAAATTTTCATAAAAATTAATGCACATCGATACGTGATAACAGATAACCTGACACGAACACATTATAATTATAAATTAAAAATAGGTATTTTTTAAGATGCCTAAATGTCGGTGTATGAAAAATCGAATTTAAAGTGATATACGTTTATAGATTTTTATAACAGACGTTGGCCGTGTATTATTATTATTTTTCCATTTGAACAAAACCTTTACAGAATTTAAAAAAAACAGATGATGGTGGATACTTTTTATGTATAGTTTGTCGAATCTGTTATATTAGTCATCATAAATAACAAAAATATAATTTAAGCAGATGGTAATATGTATTTATCACGCGAACATTATATAATACCTAACAATTCGTGTCATTATCTCGATAATGGAAAAATCCCAATCCTGTCTCATTTCCCAACTCCAAAATCCTCTCAATAGCGTTATGTTGCCCCTAATTATTGTTCAGTGGGTTTTGGTTCGGAAAGAGTGTAGTTTTTTATATTTTTTTGACCAAATTATATGTTTAAGAATTTAGAAGCGTTAATAGCTTTTCACCATTTTTTAAAATCTTTTTTAATACTCTTTGAGTGTAGATCAATCGTATTAGATACCTTTTGAGTATCATATAGAGTCTTAGGTTATCAGTGAAAAGTTGGTGCAGACAAAGTAGTAATCTAGTTACAATCTATAACCCACAAAATATACGATGTAGGAAGCGATGATATACATTTATAACGCATAGGTCCATTTTTCAAAAGTTATGTTTTGTGTAAATCGGTGAGTGACCGAGAGAGTGAGAGAGAGATATTTGAGTGCGTTTGTGTTTCCGAATCGTATAATAATATTACAAAATCGAGTAATTTTGGTGTGTTTTTATTTTCGCGTTCGTAGGTCGATGAGCGAGATGATGGTGGACTTCCGGCGACCGGAAATGCCGGACAACTACAGTGACGTGAGCTCGGCGTACAACTACAACTACCAGCAGAACCAGCACCAGTACCAGTACCGCCGGGGCGGTTCGTCTTATTACGCGGACGACGACGGCGGCAGTCTTGTCCGGTCACTCAGCCAACCATCGCTGGCCCGGTCCGCTTCCGAGTTCACCGAGAACAACTGGGGACTCCGGATGCGGTCGTACGAGGACGGAGATGACCTGAGCAGCCCAGATCACACACCCAGGTCTTCGTTCAGGTCGACTCGCGGTCCACGTAATCAGCCACAGCAACTTCCGCAGGATCAGCACCAGCAACAGCAGTCGTATTCCGCCGAGACGGAGTTCGACGGATCTCGAGCCACCACAACGAGCACTCACGCCACTACGACTGGCCGGAGGAGGATGTTCGGCGGTCGCACAGTGTCTGCGGCAGAGTGGTTCCACGACTCGGACGAAAACGACGCCACTTACAGATGAACGAAAACCACCCACACACCCGCCAGCTGCAGACAATATAATATATATATATAAATATCATTTTATATAGCGAGAATTTACCCTTTTCCGTACTCGCATATATATATATATAAATGCTAAATAATGTGTACCTCATACACATTCGACAGCCCCAGCCTCCCCCGGCCTAACACTGTTCTCGGCAATCCTTTTTCAATTCTTTTTCGATTTTCGTTTTGTACGATTATTAATTTTATGATTATTATTATTATTACTATATATATTATTATTATTGTTATTATTTCGACGGGGCACATTGTTTAGTGTGTGTCCCAGCTGGTCAGGTGCAATAATACGCGTACTTTATGTCATATAATAAATTATGTCGGGTGAACCCTCCCTAAACTGTCCCCACCCTTCTAACAATGGCCCGTACACAGCTCATTATAATATATATATATATATATATATATTATATTATGTACAACCATATATTATATCGCCCACACTACGACTCACGCGACATATTATTATTTTGATTGTCATTATATTGATTAATTGTTTTATTAATTTTTACTAACTATACTATATTCATATAATAATATATTATACTTAATATACGGTAGGTAATGCATTAAACGCGTGAAACAGACTAAATATCGATGGCCGTTACATCGCCGTCGATTCTACGGGAGCTTATCGATATAATAATACAATTATTATTATTTTTTTTTTTTAAGAAAGTTAGGTTTACAATCAGGATACGACGCGATCCGCAATGTGCCAAACTAACTAATATAAATGTTATAATATTATATATTATATAATATTTAAGCCGCTGGACTCGTACTCGTTATACGCATACCGTTATTCTACACACGCGCAGCAGTCTTAAATACAAAGTTTTTATTCTATCGCGAACAGGCCTACCGATTGCGATATCGGGAGAAATCGTTTTTGTAATAATTATTTTGTTAATTTTTCATATTTTCTTAGACACTGCCTATGGGTTCACGATAATAGAATCACCCCTTGTACAGGTAAAATTATTATAATATAATATTATGCGCGCGTGTGTTTTTATACGTTCCGACGTTGACACTTTTTTTGTTTTTTTTTTTTTTTTTATCTTTCGACTTTACACTCGTCGATTTCGTTGCGATAAATCGTTTCGTGTTCCTAGCCATATTATATTATAATAGTCGAATATCGTGTTTAACCGATTTTTATTTTCAAATGAAACTGTGATAATGTGGGCGCAATCGTTTAATCGAAATCCAAACTCGAATGGCCCATGTCCGTGTACATCCTTCATAACTTCTGCACAACAATATATTATAATTTTAATATACTATTAACCATTACCTGTAATATAATAATTTTGTACTTTGTTTTGCTGGTTTATATTCAACGACGATTCTATACTTTTCGCTTGCTAAATATACATAACACGTGTCGGTTGTTGACTTGCAGTTGTACAATGTAACGAGTACTATTAAATACAAAGTGTCTTAAAAGTCATATTATTATTACAGTTAATAACTTATTAACGATTAGTTTGTAAGTTTAATGAAATCTAAAAAAAGTTCAATAAGAATTTTCATTGTTCACTTGTACTAGGTTTTTGTTTGTATTTTTTTTTTTTAAAGTGAAAACTGGAAAATCTTAATTGACTATAAAAAGTGCATAGACTATTAATTATTATACATTATTAATAATATTGTAATATTTATAATAATATGCAAAATAATAAATCAAAATATTTATCATTGTAAAATGATCATCTGTATGATTTAATTTTATCCTTATAACCCTATCAAACAAAAAATTTAATAATTTATGTAATTCAAATGTATGAACGATATTATTTCGTAAATTGACATTTACTACACCATTGCAGGTTACCTAAATCACATTTTTTTAAATTTAAATCCCGGTAGTCGAGTTTTTGGCAAGTACCACAAAGGAGACTTATAATAATTCACATTGTAATTTAATAGAATGTCTATACATTTGCAGACCAGTTTCGTATAGTTAAATTTGGCATGCGAACTATGAATGAAATAGAAAACCAGAATAAGTACATTGGTGATCACAAAAATTTCTGTAAAAGTACGTACGATTTACCAAAGACCGTTTAGGTACTGAGTATACTATATAAATTCTATGGATTTATCATAGTAAATAATATATTTTATCTATGGCTATCGTCAATTATTGTCGACATTCGTCGGCGACGATTAGGTAACAATTCTAATAATTTCAGTGAACAAAAAAATAATAAGCGATCAATATATACGGACAGTTTGTTAGCACAAATTCACACATTTCGTTATGGTCAGATTATTTTCATTAAGTATTTCGATATTTTCAAGTTTCAGTTCTGAGCAAGATAATAATGGATGAATATAGCCGTTTTTTCGACGACGGCGGCACTCTAGCTAAATTTCACCGGAAGAGTCGATGTTTACGCGTAAGTTTGTTTTCATATTATTGCTATTTTAGTATTTTACATTTACTTTAAGACTTAAATTAAATATTTATTGCCCCGGACAATCTGTTAACTGGGTGACGTAGAAGCATTTATAAGTTTAATCCTAAAAGCGCCATGTATAAAATACGCGAGACCGAACAGTCCAAAGTCCATCTTCGTTTCACTACTTCAAGTTTAATAAGTGCCTTTTTGCATAGGTACCTATACTATAAGCCGGGTATCACCTTAGGTTTTGCGTGAAGTATTTAAAACAATATAATGTTATCAATCTTTATATTTTATATACATAAATACATTATAAACCTCTTGTATTTTATTAGCATACTCACAAATTTTGTAGTGTAGTTTATACCCTATATAGCTAAATATTAAATGTTTTGCAATTATATATTTTACTATAATTATTATTTTCCATTATCATATAATATAACAATACACTTTAAATTAAATTAGTTGTTACCAAGACAGACAGTCTTAAGACAAACTCTTTTCTTTGATACGGAGCGTCTTTCCGGGACGTCCGTGATCGTGAATAACAATGCGTTGTGTATCGTTATAGTATCGTTTATTATATAATCACTAAAATAATGTTTATAATGATCGGGGCAAGTTATCCCGGGCCGCGCGGCAGGCTTGAAGAAGCGGCCGCGGCGGGCGGGTTCGGGCCTGAAGAGGCGCGAGCAAAACAATAGTCGGGACTTGCCTATACGTATTGTAGAAATAGTACAATAATAGGGGAGAGTAGGAACCGTCCGTGCACGGGCTCTAGCAAGTCGTGTGGGTTCGGTCTTCCTCGCGGTGAAACTCGAGTAAGCTCACCGTGGGGGGAAACGTGGTATTACTTGTCGACTTGCTGAATAGTCGGTTGGCCAAGTTACGTCGCGAAGTCGGTTTCCGGCGTGTCCTGGTATTCGTCCAACGGCGTGACTGGACTCGGTTGAACGGGTGGACTGACAGTAGTGAGTCGCCGGGGTATAATTATATTATACGTTGCCGTCGATGGATTAGTCAGGTCCCGGTGTGGCGGCTATCCGTTGCCGTCGATCGCTGGATGCACACGGTAGGCTTGGCGTCGTCGGTCGGTGAGGTGGTGCTTGTTGGCCAGGTGTGCCGGGTACTGTAGAGTCTCGGCGGTATCGAGCGATTACGCTAGACCGGTGCGTTCAGGGTGCGTTGTCGTGGACTGGCTAGGTCGGATCAGCTTCGCCGGCGTCGTTCAGGTCGAGGTTGCTGCTGCGTTGATAGTCTTCGGGTCTTCGGGTCTTCGGGTCTTCTATAGTGTTTGTTGATTGATAGAAGATATGTTGAAGACTGGTGTTGAAGATGATTTGACCGGTGAACTGTCCCGGTATATATACTATTTGTTTCCCTTTGTTGTCCTGTGATTGGTCGGGAATGGTTGCTTTGATAAGCAATAACCACACCTTGACCCATTGGTGTTCGCTTCGTTAATGTGGTTCTTGCTAGTTATTTCCGTGAAACTTTCCTGTTGGCAAACTACTTATTCTAGTGTGTCGCGTTTATTTCTTGTGTCGCATTATGTTGCCATACTGTTGTGTTTGGTGGTCCTGAAAAGGACCATTTTAATATAGTGACGGTTTATCCCGTTACAGCTCCCCCCCCAGATTTGTCATCGGGGAAGTAACTGAACCGATGGTAAATGTGTTGAATCGTTAGCGACACGTCTGCGGATTGATGCCTTGTATAATGCCCGTCGAATTGCATTACGAGACATATTCCACAGTGGGGTGTCCTCGTCTGGAGTTGTTATTACTGTTGATTTTTTGTCGTATCGTTGGAGATTGTTTGTGATGTGGTCCATTGCTTGTGCCAGATTGATATTCTTTTCAAATGGTATGTAGTTGTGCAATGTTTTTTCTGTAACGAATCTCCAGTCCCAGGGTTGTTTCCAATGTGTTTCGATGGCGTCTCTGGCCATATTTACGTTTTGTATCCATGTGACGATGTGGTTTATTTTTCGTCCGTCTTCTTTGTTTTCATCTGTTGTATGAATTTTCTGCGCCATTACTGACGCTAGACCATATATGTTTTCTTTGTTTTCTGTTTTATTGAGCTGTCTTCTTTTCTTTGCTGCCTCTCGTCTTGCCTGTTCTCGTTCTGGGTTGATGGGTGCCATTTCTTGAACTGATGACTATGATTCTTGTTGACTGATCTTATATAGTTTGTGATATACCAAATTCTTGGTTCTGATTCGTCAACGTTGTCATCTCTTTCATTGGCTCCCCTTGTTGTTTTTTATAAATTGTTGTGTTTGTCCATAACATAGTATGGACGAACCTCGGACACGTTAATGAGTTCTTCCCGTCCCGAGTGTATGTTCTTCACGGCTAGCGTGTTTTTACTTATGACTTTGGTTATGATGAATGGTCCGTTGTACATGTGGAATAACTTTTTTATTTCCTTGTTATCTGTATTCGATAAGTGGTGGTCTCTTACTAACACACTTTGTCCCTTTTCATATATTATATTGCTTTGGTTTTTCTTTTTTGATTCTCGTTTTCTTGCT